CAAGTTGGACACGTTTCGTACGTACAGAAGGGTTTGTGAAATCTAACGACAGCCAAAAATCAAATCGCGTTCGATTGACAATTGAAAATATTCGATTTCAGAAGGAAATATTTCCATTCTAACGATCAGTCGGATTTCCAAAGTGGACTGGCCTGTACGCGAACACCGAATTTGTCTCTGAAAAAAGTCTACTCTAAGCATTTCGGATTAAAGACCAATACGTATTGCCATAATCGGTAGATTATCCGAGTTTCTTGTTCCTAGCTTTCATAACACAGTTTTGTCAAACGTGTTTCCTACCGTAATTGCGAAATAAAACTACTTGTTCGAATATTACCTGCCAGACTCGAGTGTCCAGTGTTCTTTATTCGACTGTAACAAACGATAAATGAAGCTCAGGTCGAGGTTGACTTCTTCCGGAGAATAACGAATCCTTCCAGCACGCTGGTCACCGCCTCGTATTCGTCCGAAGCTAGCTCTGCCCTTTCGTTAGGGAACAACAATGCCGGAGTTGTGTGAGTGTAGCCACCGGCAATGGATTTCGGATTACCTGTCTTGCCCACAATGTCCACTGCCTTTCCAACCCTCACCAGCACTGGTAGACTCTAAATATTACATGTTAAATCATTATACGATGCTTTTATGTAATTTAATAAAGTGTTACTTCATGCTTGTCTTTTGTAATTTAGACCAAACCATTATTGAAACGTCGGAAGCTAACTGTATCGATATTTCACTGGAAATAGTCTAATAAGACAGAGGCATGTAACGAACGTTATGAAAATAATGCAAATGTTTGAATAAGTGTAAAGGAAATATAGAATTTTACTGTAGCCAATGACCCGGTTGTATTTTGGTATATTTTAAGAAGCGTCTGAAAGTGTATAGAATATCAATGATGAATCAATGATGAATTGTTGTACACACTTGTAAATTCTCGTCTAAAGTGATCAGCCATCTTGGTTCCATCGCCACAGCGAGGCAGTATATCAGGTAATGCGACTTCGCCATGATCAAATTACGGCAATCCAGAAACGAGACCAGCACTACAAGTAGTCCGGCAAGTGCAGTGTGGTCCAACACTTTGGAAGCGTAATGCAACGGCGATATGGACAAAGTACCCTATGCGTAACGATATTATCAGACTTTTTACAGAATTTACCTTTCCCAAAATTCTAGACTTCTCGAATGTTCTGTTACCTTGCCAAGATGCACCAAACCTAATGACATTCTAGCTAGAAACAAATGTGTTGGATTTTTCGTATGGTAGCAGATCAATTGTCTCAACAAATTAGCAGCGTGAGCGTGATTGGTCCCTGCGCCGACTAAGCCAAGCGCAAATATGGCGTTGCTGGCTACATCGGGGTCATTATCGTGACTGTATTTGTACAGAACGCTCATAGTCGAATAGTCGGGGTCTGACAGGGATGACAAACCTAAAGCCAGCGGCATTGCTCTCCTCGTAGGTATAGAGCCGTATCTTCCGATCTTAAAATTAATGTCGTGTATTACGTAGAAAATTGACGTATCGAACTCTACCTAAATTTCATTTGGGTGGAGATGAACATTCAAATGTTTATTTGTATCGTAAGAATTAAGAAAGATTAATTAAGGTAGCACCACCTGTCCGAAGATCCTAGAGTTTTCTTTGCCCTCTCCCAGACCAACCATGGCGACACCTAAAACAGCTATAGCTTGCGTCAATCCAATATCTCTGAAATATTTTGATCGAAGCAGAAGTCAATAAGAATTGTTAGAAACGAAGTACCTCGTGAACGCTAGGGGTTCATCAAATTTTCGAGCAATATGCGTACTTGGATTCTTCGCGTTTCGCTTCAGATTTTTCTTTTGTCTTGTCGGACGATTCCGAAGTCGAAAGCTTTTGGCCGCAACAATTTGTGGCAGTACTGCTTACTGGAGTGATCGGTGCGCTTTCGCTGTCGACAGGCTCTGAACAGATTCGTAGCAATTCTTGTACTATCAATACGTCGCCTGTGCCAGTGTACGCGCACACCTGAGAATTGTGTTTCTTTTCATTCTATTTCTTCCATGGTAATTTTTAAATAGTTGAAAGAAATGAAAAATATTATCAATACCTGGAGCATTGTCTGCGAGGCCAATTTATAGGGGTCAGGTAACACTTCCAGAGCTGCAGAGGAAGCTTCTATCATATCTCGACGACCCATATAGATCAATCCCAAAGACAATGGTAGAAATCTGCAAAAGCGGATTCTTTAGAAATTCTTTTTCGAATATCATTAACTGCCTTCTCGAAACAGTTCATTGAGAAGCCTATTAGCGGTAGAACAACCGAGCGTTTAACGCGATTAATGTGCAATAAAGAAGTGAACCTATTTCGTTTTCAAATCATTTCGGATATTTAACGGTTTTAAGGGTCTCTGGTAGGTAAAGTATCAAAATTCTCTAAAGGAAGTTTCATTTAGTTGCCTAGAGTAAGTGTTCGACAGATCCTGATGAGAAGTCTCCAACAATTTCTGCAGCAACGTCGAGGAGACGTCAGGATCAGTAGATCCAACATTGATCAATCCTATGGCTATTGCAGTCAACCCCACAATTTCCATAGTGCCTGAAGATAGAATAAATTCTTATAAAACCGTTCGCACTCTCGTTCGATTGAAATGTTAAGAAACTGTACGCTGACTTTCTTTGTCAGCCAAAACTCCAGTGAGCAGTTCAGTTACGTCAGACCTCCTGGACCCAGCATAGGCGAGGCCTAATCCTAAAACTGCTCCTATCTTAAGCGTTCCGCTCTTGGAAGATAAATAATCGCTGAGGAGAGCTAGTGCTGGGTCGCACTCGTTGCGAACGCCGCAATTTACGAGTCCTATAGCGAGTAAAGCTCCGGATTTGATGTAGTCTTCGTTGGTATAGAGGTATCTGCGATAGAAAGTAATATATTAAATCTTTTCACTCGTGAAAATGGAAGGGTATTATTCTTTTCAAAGAATGAAAAACACTGAAAAGGTATAATTCACTTGTCTATGGGAACTAAACCACCATCCACGTCCCACATGTGTATCAGACCCAAAGCAGCAGTCGCAGACAGCATCCCGTGATCCTAGAGCAAAGTTCGCATCGATCAATCCCGAAATTCTAAGAACAATATCTACACAGGGCAAGTGTAACGAAAAGATAGGTTAGCTTCTCAGACCTTGTTCTTGTAAACCCAACAATCCTCAGCATTAGTGAGCAATTTATCTTGACCGAAACCAGCGTGAACAAAACCGGAGACAAAACTTGCTGTTAGGTTGGCTCTCGCGGAGTCAGGCTCAAATTTCCCAAGCTTTTTTCCTTCGTAACTCTTGTAAATGTCTTCGGGATGTTTCGGTTCACAGATGTCCAATTCACTGGCAAGCGAATGAAAGTGGCCGTTTATGTGGCTGTTGCTTAGGATCTGTTCGATGTCCTTGGCGTCATCCCCCTCGTACTCCTTTCGCAGAGGATTGTCCTGGATCAATGGGACAAACGATTTTCTTTCGATTGTTAGCGAAGTATCAAATTTTACGTACTGGAAGCTTTTTAATAGACCTTAAATTGAACCTCAAAATTGAACCGTTGCAGAACCGTTGACAATTCGGCAAGAATATTATTTGAAAAGAACATTACCCTCTGCCTGGCAAGAATAAAAGCCAACTGTTTCCGCGTGACACTGTCGGGACAAGTGGCCAGACACTTGTGAACCATCTCTGAATCGGACAACTGCAAGGCTACCAGCATAGCCTTGCAGAACTCCTTAAATCTCAAGTACTGATCAGCCACTACTCTCAGTATCTGCTTCCTCTCGGTGTCCTCGCTGAAAGTTCGAAGATCAGGTCCCGCGCAAACTGGGTCGCGGAGTCTTCGTTCGCTCACCTATAACTCGCGCAAGCTTCCAAGTATCGACAGACTCTTTCGAAGTTCCTATTGTCCAAGTAGTCGCCGAGAAAGTTCAGCTGGTCGATCTCCAGACACAAATCGCAGCCGGGTATCTCCGCGTTGTGCTTCATGTCGAACTGCACGATGTGCTTGATCAACAGTTCTAACCGTTTCCTGTCATTCAGCAGAGAAGAAGGATCGATATCGAATCGCGTGGTGTATTCTAGTCGCAGGAAGTACCTGATTTCTTGCTCGTCCCTGACGGGAGCGTTCGTTATCTCATCGATTATTTCCGTTTCTAATTGTCTGACGTATTCGTGGCCCCATTCCCCGGGGTTGAAGACGTTGCCTTCGACGCAGTATCTCAGACACTCTTTAGACCCTGGGGCTGCTCCTGCCATAGCGAGGACACTCAGCACCTCCGCGAATTGCCGTTTCACGTCGTCTCGTTCGATCTTCGAGTACGCGGTCCTCAACGATTCGTAAGAGTTCCTCAGATACTTGAGTGGCTTTGGAACCGCGGTCATCGAAGTCGTCGAGGTCTGCATCAGCAACCTCAGTTGACTCAAAGAGAGCAGAATTGCTGCTTCGTCTTGGCCCTTCAATTTTAGAAATTACCAGTGCACAGTTACGCTACGAAGTAACACTTTCGAAGTAGGAATGTCAACTTCGAATCTAAATTATTGCAGAAGGAGGGTCGTTCGTAGAGTTCACGGTCTCTTGACTTCGCATACTTCTCTGAAATTCTAATTTAGGGAAAAATTGACGAACAACGATGTACCAGCAACACGTCGACCAACTGGAGTAACTCTTCTTGTAGCCTTGTATCCTCCTCGTCCTAAAAAAGGTTGCGTCATCTTCAGAAGCGAAGCGAATGCGTAGGATTCGATGAATTTAAAGAGAATTAACATTTTACCATCTCAAATTCGATAGTGGACAATCGAGATTTCACCAGCGTCATGGTAAGTGCCTTACTCTGATCTTTCCAATTGTTGCTTTCTATTAAACTATAATCTCCCTATACTGTAACCCCTAACGCACGTATTTCAAGAATACTCGATAACCAAGACGTCGTCACGATTTTCTTTTATTCTCCTCCAGCGATCCAAATGACAGTCCTGAATTTGTCGGCAATTTGCATAAGCGTGTCGCTCGAATTCAATTATTTTTCCCCGTGCATCGTTCAACGGTGAACCTCTGAACTATAGCGGATTCGCTTGTTATCATCCATTATCGTTAACTTTCTTTTAAAACGAGGGAAAGGCGGATGCTTAGGGGATAGATTGACAAATAGATCGTGCGTAATACTTCAAAGTTATAATTTATTTAGCCGTAACAAAATTTATCATGATAATTACACTATGTGGTAAATGTGTAATAATATATACAGTCGCATCGGGTGACGTTCCCGGAATTTCTCACGGAACATTTCCAAACTAGGTGTTTCCGCTTTATACCCTGACACATTTCAAATTATCACACCTCTTTTTCTCCCACTCTCACTCTCACTCTCACTCTCATTCTCTCTCTCTCTCTCTCTCTTTCTCTCTTTAAAAAACAAAAGGGCAAAACAAAAAGTCACAAACTCACGTTCACGCACCGCTTCGTTTACTCTAAATATCGTCCGCGCTTCCGGTACTAGTTTCAAAGGCCTCTATTCCGCTTAACGATCGTTAAACTTGTCGCGTCGAACACGCGGCGTTGTTTAAAAAAAAGTATATAATACGTTCGATGAGCACTTTCGGTCGGTTCGAAATTTCCAGGCGCGGGGAAACGGTAGTGAAGTACACCGGGTGGCGGACCACGAATTAGTCACGTACACTTTTAACGTTCGCTATCGCCAACTTTTGTCACGTGGTAATCTTGTCCTCGGCCAAAGCCGACGGAGAAATGAAAAGTCTTATTGCTCGTGGAAAGGAACATTTTAGGAATGATTGTACGGATTGTCCGGTCCAAACGTGGGCAAATTTCCTACCTGAGCAACAGTGTTTCACGAATCGCGTTTCTTGTTACGTCGATTGCCATATAGAAGTATCAAATTGAATTAATGTTATCGAATTCTATTGGATTTCGTGTTTAGAACATTTAGAAATGAGTTCTCTCGATCGAATCAAGTTTCTTTAGTTTTAGTCACAGGAATGACCATTTAAATCGACAGAAAGGCCATCTGAAACTTTGCCCACATTTGATCTAGTTCTCTTGAAACTGGAGCGAACAACGTGCAGAGGTCGCCGCATGCGAGTTCTACAGTGAAATTTCCGCACGATAAAGCGAACGATAAGAAAACAAGATGAACCGTTTATTTGAAAAGTGACTAAAGTTCATTTAAAAAGGAAACCGCTTAAAAATAAAAAGGTAACGTAGAATTTCAACTATTATAATCATAGACTCGATTTCTGTGTGAAAATAAACTTATGTCACTTTCAACGTAAGCGGCTGATATATTACAGTTCCTTTCTCGAGAGTATGCATGCGAACGACCTCGACAATCGTGAAACGATATACACGACCGGCGTAGTTAATCACTGTTCACACGCCTTGATTTAAAATAATTCACCTTCTGCCGCGCGAATTCATTCAGCGATCTTTTTACACTCGCGTATCTATTGCTAAGATAGGAAATTTTGTGCATCGCAAAGATATGTTAACGTCCGAATTGATATGTTCCGCTCGCCTCGCGTTCAATCAAATTCTGTTTAACATTAAAATATGTTTGGCACACTCTCTCCCCTCCTTGCACTCTCTTGATCAATCGCTCGCTCTCTCTCTAGCTGTATAAAAGTATACACGATAAATGCAAAGAAAATACGAATGTTGCGTCGCTTCCGTAATCAAGAATCCAATGAATCGCGCGCCGTCGATCGGAATTTCCGCGAAAGGCTAAAAAATATTTGATCGTTTGAACGAATTACGATAATCCTTGCTTACAGAAGAATAGATGTTTGAATCTTTGTACAATTACCGTTGATTAGTTTGTATAGTTACGCGTATCAATGATAAACTAAGAATTACGAAGTAATACGTCGAGGTACACGCTTTGGTCTACTTTTTATCTAGACTGTAAGTGATCAACATTTTTTCGGAAACATTTGTATCAAACATTTTTGAGCGATAATGGGTGTAATCTTTGGTTCCCTGATTATTGTAACTGTAATTATTTGTGTACGGTGTGTTACGATCCGTATGTTATCTAACAATACTCAAATGCACGTCGCCTTTAACATATGATTGTACAAAGATGATGTCTCTCTAATTAAAATCGTTAAAATACTTGATAAAGTCGGCGAAGCGCGGAGTCATTTCGTTGGCGTTCGCCGCCATTTTATTAATGACTGGACGGCTCGCTCGAAGAGAACTCCGTAAACTCTGGAGAGTTCCCACTTGTAGCTGCGCTATTCCAACTCATTAGAGTCGCCAACTGAATTAGCCCGCACTTCGAACTGTTAAAAGAACTTTTCACAATTGAGTTTAAACGTCCGACGAAGATATCACTGATCACGTTATACCGTTACAACGTTGCCTTTTTACGCGACTATGTTATACTGGTTTGGAAATGATATATCGGACATGGAGAACATGCACTGTGGTTACGACCAAATTAATTGTCAGCTCGAGCCACTTGGAAATAGTTTCAAAATGAAACATTCGAAATTTGATAATTTACGAATGCTGAATCAAGTATCCTCGAGCAGAAAATTAATTTCGTCCAGACTACACTCATCGGGACATCGAAAAAAACGCTTAATACTTCACCATAAGGCTTTCATGGCACAATGAGAAGCACATGTTCCTAACGATTCACGCCCAACGATTTTTAACGGCCCGTAAATGAAAAATTCCCGACGATTCGAAAGGAGAAAACAGAATCGAAGAATACTATAATTGAAGAAATTACAGTCTTCAACCGTGGAAGCGTACATCCTGCAGCCGTTCCAGTTTAAATTATGCATTCTTCGAGTCCTCGATACATTCGGACTCGCGCAGCCGCGATATCTCGCGCCGTTGGTTCCCGTTCGACGCCATTGTTACCCGAAACGGCACGAAAACAGCCCGAAGGCGTACGCCTTTCCACAGGTTCGCAAAAACGATCGCTTTAAAATAGGAATGTGCGTTATTCACTCATCTTCTACTCGATAATCTCTCTCGGCTGAAACTTCTCGAACGCTTTGACTGCCGAAGTGTCAAAAAATCCTCGTCGAAATCCGATCGCTTTCACCCTGTTAAATTTTCCGATTGATATTCGATATACATCTTTATCGTGGTTCTTCCGTACGCGGCAGTCAACGCGTCGAATCGTTCGTAATCACGGATAATGCTCGTCGATCACAGAAACGCGAGTAACGCGTGGATGGTGTACGGTAGATCGCCTCGAAAACATTCGAATTGCGCCGTTCATACCTTTTTTTGCTTGTTCGTTCCTCCTCTTCCGCTCCTGAAGACGCGTGCACCACTCATCCGAGATAAGGATCGATCGTATCCGCGGAATTTCCGCTCGGTAATCGTTCGTCCACTCGCCGCTAGACTGCGTCGATCTATTTTGCACGGTATCGCGATCCGATTCAGCGATTCGCGACGCTTTTTTCCCCGTGATCGTACTCGGAAACGGATCTGGATCGCTCCTATGCACCGCCTGGATGGTGTCTATACGATCGATCGCTTATAAATAAAATTCCTTGGATCGGCGAGACGAATTCTGGTAATTCTCGTCTATACGTCTATCGTTTAAAAAACTTACTGAGTCGCGTGAACTTAAAAGCTGCACGATATAGTTACAAATACAGCGTTAAATATTAAATACGCTAATGTGTACGTTGAACGGCTAAACTCGCCGGATAATAATAAATACATACGTTTAAAAACTATTATTGCGCTGGGGGGGGAACAGCCAGGACAGATTTGCTATGCTATATTCTTGCCCGTTAAAGTCAGAATTTCTAATAACAATCTGTTGTACAAATTCTTATCTTATCGTACGATGTTCTTGGTCAAAACGTTAAAAACAGTATTAAATGAGCCGTCGATAGTCCCGAGATAAAAGAAAAAGTGATGAGACCGGTGCCCGTCAAGAAGAATAAAAGAATGATCGGCCGTTAAGACCGATCCTAAAACTACAAATTATCCGTGAATTCATCGGAAAATTTTGATCCCATCGAACGACAGAAATCGTTCGACGAGTATCGGACCAAGAGCCAAGAATAACCGGTAATCTGTCGCGGTTGATCCTTTCCCATCGTTAAGGAAAAATAAGATTGCGTTCTATGATAAGTTCGTTAAGTTTCTAGTGAATTGTGAGCGTTTCCGACCCGATCGTAAGCGTTCGTTGAAGCTCGGATCCCATGGTAAAACTAACACAATGGAGTCCCGAGGGTCGCGACCTTCGGTCTTTGGCAGTATGAAGACTGAGGGAACTGAGGAACGGCCGACGTTGGTCGGCCACATTATTAATACTGCGTTCACATTTTCCTTCCAGACTCGAAGTCCGCCGAGGAATCACCGCCCAGCTCGCTCTGAATCTGCGCCAGCGACTTGCCCTTCGTTTCCGGCAGCACTATGATCGTGAACGTCACGCTGATCACGCAGAACGCGGCGAACACCCAGTACAGCGTGTAATTGCCGAACGCGCTGGACAGCGAGCTGGAGAACTTGGTGATGAAGAAGGCGAGCAGCCAGCAGGCGCACACCGCCAAACTCGAGGCCTTCGATTTCACGTTCGCTGCCAGCATCTCGCCCATCACGGTCCACGGCAACGGGCCCCAGCCGACGCTGTACGTCGCGATGAAGATCACCAGCGATACCACCGGAAGCATACCGATCGTGTCGCTCACTGGCAAGTTCTGCGCGTCCTGCATGTAGAAGTAAATTCCCAGGGCGATCTGTCGAATTAATGGGAACGTTTCATCGATTATTCACCGGAGATTAGTAGCTATTACCGACACATTACATTCATTCATTTTCCAAGTTTCAAACTTTCGAACGATTCGAAGTGTAGTCTTCGCCGGAAATCTTTTCTAGCTGGAAATCTTCCCGAGAACAATCGCTCGCGGAGACTCTGAATTTTCCAAGAAGATTGCATCGGATGCTATTCGCAGTGCCGAGGGCCGTAACAATTTTGGCCGTGCACGCGTTTCCCTCGGAATTCAAGGTACCGACATCAACAACAATGATATTGATCCCAGAGGGGGATAGACATTTTTGCGGGAAAGTATTCGATGGCGTCGAAATGCGTGCTAGTTTGTATTCCGCGATATTGGAATTCTTAGGGAATTGGAATGTACGCCACTAAATTCCCTTGACAAGGTAGAAAACCGATATTCGGTTGTCCCGAATTTCTATCCACGCTTCGATCGTTCCGTCGCGACACGCGTGAAATTTTCCCAGGAATTTCCCTGCCTGTTCAACAACAATGAAATCAATGAAATTGCAATGTTCGCGAGTCGCTTTTCTCGTTACTTTTAATCCGCGCAACAGATCTTCGATATCCGACGTTTCATCTATTCGATAAGACGGACGACACGTGAACATTTCTAATCTCTGCGCGATCGAATCTCGAACATACGCGAACTCGTTTTCTGAAGTAAATAAAAATGAAAAGCCGCAGGAACATCTGCAGCTCGGTAATAATTGATTGGCCGCACGCCTCGCGATGCCTGAGCGAAGAACAAAAAAGAACCGAAGACATTATCGCGATTGAACGACGCGTCGATCGACCGTTGAATTACGAAATTAGCGTGGATGGTAATTAATCGCGTTCCAGGCGTTCCTGGGGACGACGTCTCGGCAGACGGAACGTAGTTTTTTTTCTTAGTCTGTTCTTGCCGCGCTCGTCATCGTGAAAATCCAGATCGCGAACGGATGCGACGCAACCGACTCCTCGGTGACGTCACTCGATCCTTTGATTACGCGTAACGAGACATTGACATTGAGCCGTGGATCGGTGCAACAATCTGCGACGGACAATTAAACGTGACCTCATAATTCCAGATGCATCGAGTCATTCGGAGGAACTGACGTATCATGGTTCACGGGAATTCTCTTTTCACACGCGCCACGAGTTAGTATCGGTAATTAACCGATACTAAATGTATCCTTTAACAGGCTCGCTCTAATATTAAAGATTAAAATACTAACTCATAGTATTAACACGTTTAACAGTGCTCCGATTCATATAATATGGGTCAGCGTACTTCTAATTGACACGTTCGTTGACCCAACTGTGGGTCATGGAGTCTGCAATTAGAAATCGCACTTAAACTCTAGATGTAGGGCACTCTGCGTTGCAGTTTACACGTGTCTAATTAAATTACGAGTGTTTTACATCTAGGCAATAATTCAGTTAACTGTCGCGATCTTTATCGAAATTTATCGCGCGAACAAGAATGTGTACGATACGCGTGATCTTGGAAGTACGTTTTCATTGGATCGTGAACGTGTTAAATTGATGTTTCCGATTCGCTAATTTTAGTATCTCCGTATAGATCTCAGAAATCGGAGCCCCGAGAACAAGTGATTCGAATACGTCGATGCAATATAATTAATATTATCCTTAATAGGAGCTATTAGGATTATTGGACAAGAGCCAGAATCGAAGCGTAAGATGCCCGTCGTGTGTCAAGTTCACGGAAACAAACGGAAAGAGACGAAACGCGCGGGAGGAGATCAACGAAGGTCGAGTGCGAAAGACCTCGGCGCATCCTCGTGCGCGTTGCTTCGGTGGAATGCGGCCGCGCGTCGCTCGGTGCATCAGGAGTGCATCCGTGCACGTTCGAGAGGTTACATAAATCGATTTGAATAGGCGCTGCAAGGCCGTGATCGATTTGTTCCCGCAACAACGGTTACTTCGCAACACCCGTGAAACTTGCGCGGTGCCCACCACCGGATCAAGGTCTCGGGAAGTGCATTCGTCTGTGGTCCCGCCGCACGCGACATGCACAAATTCAAGAAACTTCTCTTTTCTCCCTTCTTTTCTCCTGTCATTTGCAATGGACATTAATGAACATCCTTCGAAAAAATCCCCCGAGAATCTCATCTTGAGAAATGTTTAATGTCCTGGCGTTAAATCGTTCACCGTGTATAATCTTCTATTTTGATTAGACGAAGCATGGAAGGAAATGTTGGGAGTTCAAACGGGATTTCTAACGAGAGATTACTATAGGTTTCGTTTTACGATATTCTAGCTGTTCTCATTAGAACACAGCGCCAAGTGTGCTCGAAGGATCAACATCGACCAAGACCGGTAATCCGCCTACAGCGAGGATCTACCAGGATCAGGACACGATGAGCCACTCCATCAACGAGACCGTAACTAGAATACCTATTTGCTCCCGATAAGGAATACCGAAATTTGCATGTCGACCTACTGTTAATTTTCTCGAGGATCCTGTTTGCTGTCCGGTGCAATCGATCGATTAAGCACTGCTCTCGAATCCTCTGTGTTCGTAGAGGCAACCTGGAAGACTGCACTTCGAAATTCGATGTATTTATTATTTATTCCAGATGGAATAATGAATCTGTTGGTCATAGAAATTGTAATTGACAGAAACGAAATGACCCATTTCGAATATAGATCTCGCACTCACCAAGGTAACGATCTCTCCCACGCCGGAGAAGATGAGCAGCATCTTCCTGCCAAGCCTGTCAACGACAACAGGTGTAACGCCGGAAGCGAGCACCTGCACGACACCGACGATGATGGTCGCGATCGGGGTTGGAAGCGACGACTTTGCGCTGATGAAAATCGTCTCCATGTAGAACAGCACCACGTTGATGCCGCTCAGCTGTTGGAACGCGGCTAGAAGACTGGTGTAAAGCGTGGCCTTTAAGTTCACCTTGTTCTTGAACAGTTCCACGATGCTGACCTCGTTCCTGGCTGCTTCATCCAACTCCGCCTGAATTCGACAAAACGCAACGTTCAACATTCTCCATGATTTTCTTGTCGAAAATACAATGATAGTTGGGCTCGAAAGATCTAGGCTATTGCGCAAGGGTCAATCAAAGATTACACGCTAAAATTGAAATCTTAATGCTTTCATCGAGAGATTGCATTGAGAATAATTGGTTTACTCGTTACGATATTTCATAGCATAAAAATTTCATTCGATATAAAGTATTTCTATATTTCTACATTTTATACAGAATTCTGTATACAAGATAATTTCACGCGGAGCCTTCATGCACAAAAGTTTGTAGAGCAGCGCGCTAGACGCCGCGCCGGCTATACACGTGACCGGTTAGTCACCCGTGCGATTCGCTATACCAGCTCCGAAGGTACACTGCCGGATCACGGCTGCCATTGGCGGATCAAGGAACGACCTTACCCCCGGCCTCGTTCGAGCAAACGTGACCCGAACGCCGATATCGCGCGGCAACGCGTCGGACGTTTACGGGCCGATCCGCGCGTCATCGTACCGGTCGTTTCGATTTGTCGGAAAGATTCCTATATCTGTACGAGGAGGTCGCAGCTTATCGCGCGAAAATAGAAAGAATATTTATAATAGAAAGTCCTAGTGAAACCACGTGCCTGCCAGTGCTTGCGATCTTCTTTATAAAAATATACGAAACATTCGTTCGTTTCGATGAAGGAACGTTTGTTAGTTTCTGCAGATTTCTTTGCGAGATTACGCTTCTACCGATTTTCCTTTCCATTCGTCTACTTGTACGACCGATTTCAACGACCTCGTTTGAAACTGTTACCCCGATAAAAGTTATTGCAAGGATCCCGTCACGTGTCTTTGACGAGCGAAGCTGAGGCTTCTCCTCTCGAGCGGACGTTAACGCGATTACACGGCGATTATTCCGGTTGCGAGATCTCGTAGCAGTGATTCATCGCGTGTATAAATAACGTGATTCTACTGAAGAAAGTGTTGACAACCCGATACTCGGCTTAGAAATCATTGTTTCAACTAGAATACTCGTTTGCGGTACTTGTTTGATCGTTGTTCTTCGATCGCGTGTATCAGCTTCGAGCATCGACCGAACCTCGTTAAGACTCGAAACGTCCATTCGTGTTTCGTTTACCAAGTAAGCCCTCGCATTAGTATTTCATTTCGATATTTCATTCGGACCCACGGTGGCAAGTTACCTGTATCTCGTCAGCTTCCTTCTGGACGCTGGCCTCCGACTTTCCGCGTAACCTTGCCAAAGCAGCGATCGCTTGGTCCTTCTTGTTGACCTTGATGAGATAGTAAGGCGATTCCGGCATGGTGACGAAGCATCCGAAGAAAACGACTGGCACGATGGCGCACAGGATCCAGAACGCCGTGTAAGAAACGTATGGCCCGATCGCGTACGAGTAGAGCAAGCCTATCGTGATGAACAGCTGCAGGAACGATCCAAGAGCACCTCTCACGGAGATCTGTTGGGATCGGAAGATCGACGCTCGCTTAGTTTCTCGTTCCGTTCTGTCGATTGTGCTCGTTCGGGTGGCAGGATCACCTTACCTCCGCGATTTCGCCGCAGTACATAGGAACAACCGTGAAGGCGAACGCCATGCCGAAGCCAAGGACCACTCGGGCCGCGTACAATTGGTAGACCACACCGGCACTCGCGATCAGGGCCCAACCGATCAGGTACAGCACCGTGGAGGACAGGAGCGTGTATTTTCTGCCGATTCTAGTTTTCGTAACAATCGAACGTTAGGATAGAACCTTAGAATGAACGTTTACTTTCATCGTTGGTCATTTTAAAAGAGAGGTGTGACATTCGGTAAACTGCATTTAATTGCACGTTTTTAAACATTCGTTATGCAATCGGAAGAAAACTCAATCAACTCTGTACGAATTAAGATAAGAGAATTACTTGTCCGCCAGAACTCCAGCTACGAAACAACCAATCACAGCTCCTATGGCTACCAGCGATCCTATCCAAGTGTTATCATCAGCGGTGATAGGCTTGTCGAGGGGAGTATTCGCGACGGATTTCATCAGCTGCGGTAGGACAGGACTGGTCCAGCCCATCATTACACCGGCCGCCATACTGGCCATGTTCGCTGGAGAACAGAAAAGTTTCAATATAATATCGTTCGACACTGCCTCGCTTAATTGGAACGGACAAATTTCGAGATTTCTAGATCTCGGAAAGAACAGTTATCGCGACGAATAAGCAGTAAGCCGTCAGAAGACAAGAACAACGCGTTGTTTGATCGAGATTCGCTCGATGAGCCGAGTCCTGTCTTTGTCTCCGTACATAGGCGAAGACTCGCCGGCCAATCCGGCACGAGCACGTCGAAAACCGCGATTCAACGATGAAAGCACAAGTTTTCCGTGTGCTCGATCGAGCCTGTCTCCGCGAGACGCGTCCCGCCGCCGGATTCTCCGGCGTTATCTCCGCGTGTGCGCGATGCAGAACAATGAACGCCGGCGAGCAGATTAAACTTCCGACAACAATGAAACTCGTCGCTCCTAATTTTTCCATTGATCGCGGATAGAATCGCGTGGAATAATTTCTGGCGGCGCGCCGCGGCCTAGCTGCAGATAAAGCTCGACCTAAAGAAACCAAAGTAAAATAAAAGAAATTGATGGGACCGGACGCGACGGAGATAAGCTCGACCGTCGATGTTTCCATTACGGCTTCGAATTGCTTATCGTTTGAGTCGAGCGAGCGCGTGCACGAGTTTTCCAACGTATTCGTCGTAGTTCCATTGATGGATTGCATAATGACCGCGCGATAAATGCCGACGAGCCACCATGAAGCTGTCAATCATTTTAAACGCGAATAGTCGTCGGATTAGTGCTCAGCGCCAGAACTACCGCACGCGTCAAAATGACGGGTCTCAGTTTTATTCGCTGTTATTCGATATCTAAATAGTTTATAGTAGAAAACTAAATAGCTTCACTCGAATACTTCGGTTGGATGGCAAAAATTCGTTATCCGGACTGTCAGAAGTTTGATGAAAAAATCATTTTTGTCTAATGCCGATGCGAAAACTGGCAACCGGATATGCTGTTATTTCCCGAGGTTTTTCTTCTTGTTCGTGCTTCGTTTTGGCTTTAATGATTGCCGCGAGCTCGTGACGCTGCGGTTCGATTCGACAAATGTTAAATATACACCCCACTGTTGCGTAAGAGGTAATTCGTCAGATGAGAAGATAAATTCTTATAAAACTGGACGCAATTTGCGGTGTGTTTATCTAGCTTGAGGGAATCCCGGACGGAAAATTGGCAGCTGTCAACGTTTACATGGGAAACAAAACGAGAGAAAATTGCAGACTGCATTGCACGACTTGCGTTATTCAATGTTTGGCGTCAACGAAGCACCATGCACTAGGAGTACTTGAAACAAGGACGATAAAGAGATCGCCGAAAATTCTGAAGCCACGGTAGCCTGAAATCCAGTTGTGCAATCAGAGTACAATGCCGTGCGAAACGGATTCCTCGCTTTATATTCTGGAAGCGATAAGTAAAAGAACCTTAACCGAGTTCGCGGAAAATGATAAATAGCACCGCTTCCTTCTCCTTGCTGTATCCTTCTCCTCTATATTCCTAGAAATTCTTTTAGATATCTGGTTGCGGTTTAACCTTTGCACACCGCTGCATACATTATCCTTGCTGCAATTCTCGTATCTTTCTGAATTTACTTACGTTCTCATTATTTCTGAGTCACTTGTAGATTCGAGAACAATATTTCGAAAATCAGTCCAGTACACGTGTTCCTATTGCGTCAGTAATATTTCGAATGTATATTTTCAAACTTCCAACTCGTACGATAAAAACCAGTCGCCGTTTGATTAAATGGATATTACTATGAAACCTAACTAATACAATGATAGAAATTTAGTCGACGTTCCATCTCGAAATTGACGAAAAGAGGACAGAGAGAATTGGAGAAATCGGGAAGCTCGAGGCTAGCGACAGATTCGCAGGCGATATCTTTCTAGTCCAGTAACCGGGAAGAGATAAGAAGCTGTCCGTTCCGTTCGCGTAGCACCGCGGGCGTTTAAATTGCTCCTTAAAACGCCGGTTACGGGGATCGTTGCCGTAAAAGCGACGATAGCTCATTTTCAGCGTTCAAGGATCCGGCCGAAGGTATTTCCGGCGGCCGAGACAGTTCCACGTGATTGCCAATTCCAGTGACAAGACTGAAGGATCTCGTTACATCCGCTGATACGGAGGAACGAGCCGCGCCGATACCATGGGAATTGAAATTAAACGATCGCCGGATTACGCGGATTATTCCGAGCATGCCGGAGACCGAGTTTGTCATTCAACGGTCCTCCCGGTTAGAAACGCTTCTTTTCCGGAAATCTGCAACTGCGCGCGATTTTATAATCAACGCGGCGACGGACGTCGCGCGCGTTCAAACGTTTCAACGCGGAACAGATCCAGCGAAGTCTTATGCCTGTTGTCATTAAGCACACGCGGTAGATGAAGTTTTAAGAAATTATCTTTGATAGAATTCCGAATTCCGAACAAATGTTTGCTATAATTGTGTTTTTGAAACATGTTGACAAATTGATACATCGAGAAAGTATTCGTTTCGTTAGCAATCTGTCGAAAAGAATGCAGTGCTTTGCAAACTGTCGTTACAGACGATAATATAGTCTGAACGAAGTGGAGACAGACTTAAGTAGTCGGATAATTATAGACAGGCCGGTTTAAATGAGGCAACGTCTGCTCGCACCGGTCTTCCTCTTCCTCGAACGTGCTACGAATCTTTGATTAGAAACTTTGTTTCCTGATTCTATGAATCTTTCGTTCCACACGAGAATGAATTTCTTCCGCAGAGTACACGGTTCCATTCGTGAAACTTTCGATATCGATCTCTCGGTGCGTACTCTCGACACGAATATTCCAATCGCGATAAAACGCACCGGCACTCGGAAATTTCGCGTGGATATTCATTCGAATTCGATTTGAAATTTCACATTCAAATTGCCGTTCAAATTGTCGTTCCAAGGTAATACTTTGCAAACAAGATAATAGCTGCGAACCTGGACGTAGATAATAATCGTCGATTGTCAGTCGCTGATTTTAATGCCGAGGAATTAACGAACAACCGTGTATCGCGTGCTTTGAGACATATCGAACGTGATTTACCGCTGACAATATCTTTGGAAGTATGACACTTCACACTTTGGAAACGTGCATGGCGAATCGGTTCCTTGGAATCGCAATGGAAGGTCAGAACCGATATCGCCTCTCGACGAAACGATAAAGAATTTTATTATTCGGCAGGACGGGTTTCGATTAAAGAGCAAAAGGGTTAAGAACCGTGGTTGAGAGTCGTAGAAATGCCTCGATCCAAGGACAGCGCAGGATCGTCGGACGGAGACGCAAGACCGACGCGTCACGTTGCATTTAACGAGCAATACCGGGTTTTACGTAATCCCGGCGAGATTGCTCTTATATCATCCTATCGCGTGCGGCACCGGAACAAAAATAAAAATAATCTCGTGCGCTTGTCGCGACGAATCGCGTTCCGCGAGACAAGAAAAACCTCGGCGGCGCGCGGCGCGCGTCGCGCGTCGCATCGCGTCGCATACTTCCCTATCGAGCCGATAAACAGTGAGCTACGTCGACGTGCATCTAGCCTGCGCGATCGTTCTATGCGCGATTTGCAATTCACGATAGCGAGAAATCCTGTGGAACCGAGCTGACACGATTAATCGACCGAAACGCGATTTCTTCCGATTAATGGGATATTCGACGCAACGTAGGACGATTCGGAGGAAAGTACTTCGAAATGAAGCTTTCAGAAATGTAATAAATACAATGTAATTCCAAACTGTCATCCGCTTCCGAATGAAAATACCGGCCAGAGCAGGATTATCGTTCTCGTTTCATTCTCGCGACTGTGGATCATATTTTTCCGAGGGGAATCCGATAATAACAATCCGCTGGAGAATGGATTAATTAGCTTTTAGGAAATTTCATTCCCGTTACAGTCGGGGTGGATCTACGGGGACGGCCGGATCCATGATGCGGCAGCTTGAAATTTCATTAAAATTTAAAGTTTCGAATTTAAAGAACCAAGACCTTTTTACCGGCGAGCATAAACTTCATAATGGAGTTGAAATTGCGTTTCGTCCAGTTCAGCTTCGACGGGAAAAAAGGGATTCCCTTTCTAATTTCATTTAATTCTCTGCGAATCGCTGCAGGAAAGTATACGTCCGGGCAATAGAATTTCAAAGAAGGAGGGAATTGTCCGGATCAAAGGATAGAATCGGATAAGATGGAACAATGGGGGGAAATTAGTCTCGAATAACAAGGAAGGATCCTTCGTATCAGTCCATTTCCTTTCATAGAGGACTTTGAAAGGCGTTATCACTGTTCGTTTCCGCGCGGCCTCGTTTTTTAGACGAATAAAGGCGCCTGACAACTCAGCCGACGGATGCGCGATACTTTCATCGGCCTGGCTGGATGGAATTTAAATATAGATTCAAATTCGTACCGATAAGCTGCAAATCACCGACAGAACATTCATTTCAAACTCGTTTTTCTCTACGGTTCAACTCGCGAACTACGTAAAGTATATAAATAGGAACAATCGAAAACTCGAGACGAGGAAGAGATCCTGTACATTACCTTTTCCTGTTTTTTCGTCGCGCGTACAGCTATTCTTGGCGAACCGATCGTAAAAATCTGCCTCGCAAACGGCAATTTCGAGGGGTGTAAAAGTGACGGAGGTATTTCTAGAAAATCTAAATTGAATTACTTCGGTAATTGACTCCGATTGCTATCGCCTCGCTTAGATTCCTGAACCGTCAGGCTGCGCGACCGGCGTAAATCGTTTTCCTGTCACGCAATAAATCTGCCCGCGCGGATATCGATCCCCGGACACCGTTCTTCCCGCGAACGGATCACGCCTCCGTAAACATTCGTTTTACACACACGCGCGCACCGCGCACTCGAGATTACGGTAAACCGCGCACCGTCGCTTCAACATCCTAATCGCCGCTGCTACCGATAATCTATTAACGATATTGGCAAACCGGCTACCAAACTCGTGACGCAACGGAATCGGCTGGCAAGTGGCAGAGATCCTCCTTTT